AAATGATGTGCTTCAAAGGACATTACTAAGAAAGCGAAAAGACACAGAACAGGAGAAAATATTTGCAATCATATATCTGATAAGTGTTTAGTACTATTTAGAATATATAAAGAACTCTTAAAATTCAACAACAAAAAACAACTCAATTCAAAAATGGGCAAAGGATTTGAATAGACATTGCTCAATGGATATACAAATGGCCAATAAGCACATGCAAAGATGCTCAATCATTAGGCATTAAGGGAAATAAAAATCAAAATCACAATGAAATTCCACTTCATATCCACTAGGATGGCTAGAATAAAAAAGAGAAAATAGTAAGTGATGATAAGGATGTGGGGAAACTGGAACCTTCATACACTGTTAGTGGGAATGTAAAATGGTGCACTATTTTAGAGTTTGGGAAACAGTTTGGTAGCTCCTCAAAAAGTTAAAAACAGATTACCATATAAACCAGTAATTCCATTCCTAGGCACACAAATATACCAGCGAATAAGAACGTATGTTCACACAAAAACTTGTACATGAATGTATATAACAGCATTACTCAACTGGCCAAAAGGTATAAACAATCCACATGTCCATCAACAGATGAATAGACAGATTATTGAACATCCATACAATGCACAATTTAGCCATAAAAAGGAATAAAGTACTGACACATGCTATAATGTGGATGGGATGAACCTCAAAAACATTATGTTAAGTCAAAGAAGCCAGAAAATTATATGAAATATCCAGTACAGACAAATCCAGAGAGACAGAAAGTGGACTGGTGGTTGTCAGGGGCTGGGAGGAGGGGGCACAGTGAGTCACTACTTAATGGGTATCAGGTTTAGTTGTGATGAAATATGAAATGTTTCAGAATTTGATACAGGTGGTGGTTGCACAAATACTGTGAATGTACTAAATGCCATTGAAATGTATAGTCTCAAACAGTTACTTTTATGATCTATAAATTTCACCTGAATTAAAAAAACTGCAGATAGGAACACATTTCCCCAGAGCTCTTCCCTGTGTGGCATATGTGTATGTGTACCATGTGACATGTGCAGCACACGCACAAGTCTGTCTCCTCTCAGTTCTAGGTCACTTGGCAGCCAAACACCATGATGTGAATGAAAACAGATGAGAGGTTAAGGTGGTAAAATTGAAAGTACCTGTCTCTTTAATTTTTTTCTTCAATGCTTGCACAATAGATTTGTACCCACACACGCTCTCTCTCCATGCCCTGATCACTCAGAAGGAACATACCCATATTATGCTTTATCCAAACCGACGAGACAGGAACTCTGTCCAACCCCTCTGACTATGGCTTGTGAGCCCCCAGCAGTCACTTGGGGATAATAGTCACCTTTCTGTCAATCTGAGATAAAACTTCCCTTTGCTCTAAAAACTGGCACCTCTGGCCTTTACTGAATTAAATTTCTATATGCTCCACGTTCCTTACCTTCATCTCTCTAGGCTGCTCTTTGTGCTTCCTTCCACACGCCCTCTTTCCCATTTCTAGATTTTCTCATATTCATGACAAAAGCATTACAAATAGATTTTAAGCAGCCCCCTTTAGAACCCTGCTTAGAGTTTTAGGAAAAGGTGGCAGACCAATGTCTACCACAATACCCAGAAACAAAAGAAAAAACAGGTTAAAAAAAAATCATCATCTCAAAATGAATCACAACTCTCCCTTCTACTTAAAGGAAAAAAGGAGCATAAAAGAGAAAATCCATCTATCAAATAGTCACCTTTCTTTACTAACAGTCTTTACAACCAAAATCTAAACCAGATTTGTTATACCACTTTTCATGCAACCTAAAAAACCCCTTCTTTGTAGAGAATAATTACACCAGGTGATGAATTTCATTCACAAAGCAAGTATTTACTGAGGAACAATTATGTTCCTGGCACTGAAAGATCAAAGAGCCTATCATATAGTCTGGCAGACTTTGGAATGTCCACTGAAAACATCAATTGTTTGGAAACTGCTTATGCATTTGATAATTCCATTTTGAACATTTAAATTTTTGGGGGGTCTGTTTCAACTTAGATGCAATAAATTAGGATAATCCCCTTACTTAGATCATTTCTCAAATTCTATTTTAACTGCTGTTTGCTGCTGTTTCTCCCCCAATAGATACAAGCTCCTTGAGGGGAGAGAGTATGTTGCTCATCTTTGTGTTATCTCCTGACTGGCACAGGCTTTGTTGACTTTATTTATGAAGAAATAAGCAACTCCTCAAAGAACAGAGCCTAATACCCACCGGTGGACCCTGGCACCCCTCTCCCACACCTTCCGTCTTTTGTCTTTCTTCACACATCTGTCTGCTCCAGTCTGGCTTTTCCCCATTTATATACATATTTATCTTCTTCAACTGCTATTTCCTTTTACAAAAAGGCTGTATTGCCTGCGAGAAGTTTGGACTTGACTCTAAACCACAATCAGAGTTAACAATTGTCTTTCTTAATCTCTATTATGTACAATCCTCTGGTTTGGTTTTATGTTCACTTATGCCGTTTATGCCAGAATATCATTTTCTAAGGCAGAAACACAACTTCTTTCTGTGGGCCACAGTTCTCCCCCTGACATCCCAGAGTCTCAACCATCCTAGGCTCTGAGTCATTACAGTCCCTATCCCAAAGTTTAGGAGCCACTGAGAAATCTAACATAAAATTTTCAAGTGAAATTAAAAAAAAAAAAAAAAAAGGTATGCTTGTTACATGAAGGATGAGATAAACTTAAAAGACAAAAAGCAAAAAGAAAAAACTCATGTGTTAATGAATTATAACTTTGGGATGAAAACAGACTCCCAACCAAGTAATTAAATTGCTAGAGTTCTAAGAATTCTATGCCTACATATCGAAGGCAATGAAAGGATTAAAAAAATAAAAGATTTCATTTGCATTCTGATGTAGCAATTTTAAAATAAGGACTGGTAGTGTATAAAAAAAAAGTTAAAAAGTTAAGTATACTTTCTGTACTGTCCTCCTCAAAAAGAGACTTCTGGAGGATTTGGAAGAATTCATAGTAATAATCCATCTTTCAAGGACACATACTCAAATTAGCAGGTTTTTTCAACACCATGAAGATATAATGGAATAAGACCAGTTTATTATGGGAAGTGACAGAAAAATCATAGATTCTAAAGAGCAGACTGTTCACACTTTTAGCAAGTACGGATAAAAAAACTGAAGCCATCTCTCAACATCCTATGTAGTAGTATCTTGTCACTCACTTTTTAAAAATGCAGCAAATCTAGCTTCATTTTTATAATGGTTTTGTTCAAGTGGCGAAGAGACATCATTTGGAATAAGAACCTTTAGTTCAGAATCTGTACTTTCCAGTGGTGGGAACTTCCTGTTCTGATTCTTAAGCAATGGAATGCCAATGCCTGCACGAGTAGAGGAATTTGGGCCAGAAAGGAACAGAACAGACCCAAATCTCTGATACCTCTCTCTGCCTTAATGACCTGTCATGACATCTAATAAACCACTGGTTCTACAGAAACCAGAATGTTCCCCCAAGAAATAAAGGGAGGAAAGTGCAACTGTGAGGAAGAGAACCAAACAAAGGGTTAAGCCGCACTACCAAGCCAATCTCCTTCTCAAAGACTCTGTCCTCTATGGTAGTTTGCCACATACCACCCGACAACAGCTGCTCATGATAATCAATGCCTGACAGATCAGAGAAAGCCTTTAATGTGTCGCCAAGGGGCAGTTCAACAGATGGCATGGTGACTTACAACCAGAATCATTAATTATGCTCTCTTATTAGTCCCGGAGCACACTGCTGAAAATGCTTCCTCAGTGAAAGATGAGCATTTCAGATGAATGACCGTCTGGCACTGCCTGTGAAACTCTCTTCAGGATTTCTGATCAGTGTCGATGTCTAAATCTAAACCATACTATTTTTACAGCCATTTCCCATCTTCCACTTTCAGGCTGGCTAGGAAAATGAACTTCCCACCACCACCACCCATCACTGGTCCCATAATCGCTGCTAGTAAGGTTATGGTAAAAAGTGCCCATCATTCATTTCCTGGCTCAAGTCGGTGACTGTTGAAAGGCAAACACAATAATCTCAGCCACAGGACTAGCTCAAATTTTCCTCCCTCTGTGCCAGAGATGTGTGTTTCCTGAGTGCAGACACTGAAGAGTGGGACCACCCTCCCTCCCTTATCTCCTCTAGTGTTTGTTATGTGACTGACTGAACAACTCAAAACTGTCATCCCATTCCAAAACACTGGCTGCAACTCCTCTCCATACCTCTTTTAAAAAAAGAAGAGCAGGCACTCTGGAAAAGGAAGCCTAGCACAATGAGGCAAGCAAAAGTTCCCATATGTCCACAATGCTGGCTGTGTCATCCCAAGGTCCTAAGCACTGATGTTAAACCACCATGTGCTTAATTAAGAGACCAGAGAAGTGCATCATGAGGAACTAGTTCTGCAGCCCCTACCCAAGAACATTCAGACTAATGGCAACTCAGGGTAGAAATCAGTTCCTTCTCAGCAGTTTGAGAACTAGGCTCCACAAACATTACTGAGAAATTTTAGAACTAACTGCAGACAGAGCTTTGAGGCAGACTACTTATTGGCCTTGCCATGGATACAATAAATACCTATATAATCCAAAAGAAAGAAAAATTTTAAGCATTTTCCCATACTACCAAATAAACATTTTGTGATTTTGCTGACCTCCTATTCTTATGTATCTCAATCTATAATTTCTCTTTCAATGTGAGTTCAAACCAAAGCAATATTAAGATCCTAAATGTTGTGACTTGAGAGTTCAATATTTGTTTTCTGCATTCAACTTGTTCCTTCTTGGACATATAAATGTGACTTCAACTTTCAACTAGGTTCCAATAATGGTAGTATCTGGTGGATGTTCTCATCTCATAAATTTTTAAAAGACAAAAATGTGTTAATTAAGGCATAATTAAAACCTCCTAATGTGGACTAACGAAGGGACATGGGAAGTCTGGGTCTGCCTTGCAACGTACTCACTTCTAGCTTTTTCTCCTTTTCTGACAAAACATCTTTCTGGTTCTGGGTGTACTCCACCAACATCCGAGCCAGCTGGCGCCGGTCTTCCAGTTCTGCCGCCAGACGGCCGTTATATTCTGCTAGTAACAGACATGCTTCATCTACTGTTTTTGAAAGACGTTCAGCTGCCTCTTTGTCTAAGTACAAATGAGACCAAAAAATAAAGACAATATACAAATCACATAGGTATGATTGCAAACAGTTTCTCTCCCAGTGTACAGAATCCAAGAATAAGCCAGAACCTGTATACAAACAATGAACTGGCTGATAGAGAAATCCAAAGACATTCCCTCCTATCAATAAGACAGGACATTTCTAAATTATATCAATTGAGGCAATTACACAAGGAAGGGAACATGGCAAAGGATTTCTAAGTGCCTATTCTTATAAAAGTTCTATAGATAAAACAAAGAGATATTTAAGGTCATACATGAAATCATTCTTCCTTGTCTCTGAGAATTTCAAAAGTACTTTCAGTCATACTATTTTGTTAAGTATCCTTTCTACAGTCCTCTGAAATACAAAAGCCAGCACTTGTTTCTTGGGTGTGGAAACTAAGACCAAATAAAAGCTACATGACAGGTTCAACATCATGTGGTTAGCTGAAGAGCTGAAACTCAAAACCAAGACCCTAAAATGGACCTATGGGCCTCTACCTCTTAAATTACGTAAGCGTCGAACCTGGGAATGAGCTCTCTTCCGCCACTTAGCAAAATAGAGGATCTGACGAGAACAAAGGCTTTCAGATGCTTTCGAATGTGACCCATGCTTAGAAATATACTTTAGGTAAACACATAAAAATAAAAGAAACACAAAGTTTCACAGAACAGTACTTATCCTAACTGTGTGCAAAGTGTTTTATCTTCTCCATTAAAAAATAATGCTACAACCTGGCAGACTGATTTCATGTCCAGTTAATAGGTTGCAACTCACTGTTTGGGATACAAAAGTTGTGCTGAAGTATCAAAGTATAAGAAAGGGTATTCTTGGAAAAAAGTGTGAACAAGGCTCAACATTACAAAATGAAAGTGGAGATGATTTATATTTTAAAAAAGACTGATATAATTAATTACATGAAGGTACAATAAGAGCAGAACTTCAAATATTTGTACCTCATTTTAAAAGGCCTTTAAGTATCAAAAGAGTAGATCAGTGCTTTGAAACAAAGAGCACTAGAGACTCCCTTAGTTCTACTGGACAAACTAAAAATGAGAGTTACACAGTGATACAGACATATTGGTCCCAATGAATACAGGTGTGGTCGGAAGTAAGAGACCTCAGCCTTCTCACAGTAAGTTGGGATTTAAGAATCCCCAACAGTTCTCTGTTTGACAGTCTGACTTAGATGCCTTCTTAATATGAATATTAAGAACTACAGAGGGACTCCAAATTGATCTGACAATAGGGAAATGAAAGGACACTCCTGGTGAAAGAGAAGGAGTGAGCCCAACTGCACAAAGGAAAGAGACAGTCTCAGTCACAGAAGACACAAAGGATAGCAAAACCTACTCTTCTAGATTGGTGCAATCTGGGAACAAGATGCTGGGGTGGTGAGGTGGGTTTTAGCTTTGTCATTGCTTGACTATTTTTTTTTAATGGTCAATTCATTAAGATGTTTTAAGCAGCCAAGGCAAAAATGGCAAGGAAAATACTGGTTTTTAAAGAAAAAGAAAAAGTCAATTCACACCCTCTGAGAAGTTGTTCAAGAGAGAGAATTCATTCACATCAATAATTATAACCCAGAAAAATAACCTGTAATAATTTTATGAGCTACAGAAAAAACTGCAGTCAAAATGTAGTAGCAAGATGCTCACTTGCAGAGAACTTACCTGTGGCTGTCCTCACATGCTCTGCCCTCATTATACAGAGGGGTAACTGGGTGCCTGGCAGCAACCCTCCACTTGTGCACAGGCATCCCATTCCCTGCTGTCAACTCCGAGACGGTTTCTAACTGTGCCCTGTGCTTCCTCATGCCTCACCAATCCCCTTCTCCCTCCTGAGGCACTATTACCAGCGCACAAACATGCTGCTCTACCTTCTGACCACATGCCATACACTCTCCAGCTACTGTCCCATCTACCTGCTCCCTTTAGAGCAGAACTCCTCAAGAGAAATGTTTAGACTCCTGGTATCCATCTCCTTTCCTACCACAGTCACCACTCAAATAAAGACTTTTATACCCAAACCTTCCAATTAGCTTAACAAATATGTGGACTCCACTTATGTGCCAACACTGTTCTAGGCTCTCAGAGCCAACAGGGGACAAAAAAAACTCACTACCCTTAAGGAGTTTATATTCTCATCAACTGAAGATATGAACTTGAGAGAAATAAGGCAGAGGAGAAATGGGGCATTGGGAGGGAGGAATGCAATTTTAATTCAGGTGGCCAGGGTAGGTTTTACCGAAGTGATATGTAAACCGAGGCTTGGAAGAAGTAAGAGAATAGGCCCTGTGACTCCTGAGGTAGACCATTCCAGACAAAGAAACAAGAAAGTACAAAGACCCTAGGAGGGAAAAGTGCCTGGCAAGAAGCCCGTATGACTGGAATGCTCTGAGCAGAGAGAGACATGGTCTCACTTCCATTTTAACAGATCACTCTGCTCACTATGTTAAGAACAGAAGGATGGCTGCAGGTGGGGGGACAAGGAGGACACAGGGTGACCAGACAGGAAGTACTGCAATAATCCAAGTGAAGATGGTGGGGACTCACACCAGGTAGAAGCAAGTGGAGGTGGTGACAAGGTGTCAGATAGGGTTTTGGTCCCAGTCCACAGGAATGACGAGGGGGTCATTTACTGAGATAGGGAAGACCACAAGAGACAAATTCTGGAAGGAAGATGAGAAATCTGGTTTGGGTCAGGTAAAGTTTGAAATGTCTTTTGAGGCATCCAACTAAGAACACTAAGCAGGAGGCTGGATGTACGGGAGAGGTCAGTAACGGAAATGCAAACTAGTGTATCATTCATATAAAAATTTTTCTTAAAGTCATCAAACTGGGTAAGAAGAATTATCAGTGAAACTAACTAAAGAAGAAGACCAAGCACTCAACAGAAAGAGGTCAATGAGGAGTGAGGAAACCAGCAAAGGAGACTAAAAAGCCATAAGAGAGTCACAGCCATAGCTGCTTTCCTATGGCCAGGTCCTCGTTTCCTACTGCTGCTCTAACAAATCACCACAAACTCAGTGGCTTAAAACAACAGAGATATATTACCTTAATATTTATTATAGTGGCCCCTTCCTGCATCTTCAAAATGCAGCATTTCAACGTCTGCCTCTAGTCACACCCTTCTCTGACTCTTGCCCTCCTACTTCCCTCTTAGAAAGACCCTGTGATTAGATTGGAACCACCTGAATAATCCACCTTGTGACTAGACCGGGGGCACTGATAATCCCCCCACCTTAAGAGCCTTAATATAGTCACATCTGCAAAGTCCTCGCCATTTAAGATAACGTATTCACAGGTTCTAAGAATTAGGACGTGGACCTTTGGTGGGGGTGTCACTAGTCTGTCTACCACACCAAGTGAGAAAGTATTTACAGGAAGAAATGATCAACTGGGACAAATGTTACTGAGATCAAGTTAAGATTTGCAAAAAATTCACGACTGGTTGCCATAAAGAAGAGAGAAATGAAGCTGTACCTAGATGAAGATATGGGTCCAAAAAAGTTATATGATTTCATACACTGGAGAATGATCCAGTAAAGGGATAAAAACAGAAGATGCAGAAGAAAAGGGGAGAATTTGTGGAGCAATGTCCCTAAGCAGGTGAGAAGGAAGAGGTCTAACAAACAGGTCGGGCTGGGGGGGTTATACAAAGAGTATGTTTATCCACAGAAACTGGAAGAAAGGTCAGCCAATGTGTTATCTCTTTTTCCCAGCCACATTCAGCCGTGCAGGTCAAGGAAAAGAAGAGAAGAAAAGCTGGATTTAAGAATGGTGGTTGCCAGCAGCTTGGGGGAGAGGGAAATACAGGTTTCATTTCAGTTTTGCAAAATGAAAAGAGTTCTAAAAATCAGCTGCAAAACATGTGAATATACTTAGTACCTCTGAAATATACACTTAAAATGGTAAATTTTGTAGGTATTTTACCATAATTATATATCAAAACAATTTTAAAAAATCTAAAAGTTGTATGAGTCATTTAGGTTAGTGAAAACAGCTAAATGAAATCAGATACGTTGCTACCTTTATATATATTTTAACTTGCTTCCAATTTTTGTAGACTGTGGTTCTGATAATAAATGAGGTAGTCCTTATAATAACAATAAAAGTTGGATTTAACCAGAATAAAGGATGGGTTTTTCTCAGGAGACTCCTGTGAAGGGGAAAGAGGAAAAAAGGGATTGAGGGTATACACGAAGGAGTATTATAAAGACTCCAAGCTGAGTCCAGAAGAAAATGAGGACATAAGGAGGGTGAAGGCTGAGAAAAGGTGCAAGGATCAAAAGACTACAGGATCGAGACTGTTAAATCCCACAGGGTCTAATTGCTGGAGCTGGGGAAGCGGAGTGAGTGAGCTGAAGTGCTTCACACAGGACGCAGAAGACCTCCACGCTGTGTTCTCCAACTAATCACACTCCTGCCCGAAGGTACTTAGAGGTACTGCTCCTCTGCCTGGGTAGCAGTTCCTCCCCTCAGACATCCTCACAGCTTGCTTCCTAATTTTTGGAGGCCTCTGATCAAAGGTCAACTCATCAGAAAGGCCTTCCATGAATGACCATCTTTAAAATACAGTAGTACCTCCCTCAATCATTCTCCTCCACACCCTGCTTTATTTTTCTTCTTGGCATTCAACCTGTGAGGGGATGCGAGTGGGACACCATGAGCATTGTCTACACAGTGTGCCTCAGTTATCTGCTGAATGAAGTACTTCATGAGCAACTTTGATTTCCTGTAAATGGATGTGGATGAACTTAGTGATGCTAAGTCCAAGAAGTGGAAGGGGAAAATGGTGGCCCTCAGGAAGGGAGGAATGAAGAGAGGGTGGAATAAGAAGACTGAGCTTTTGCAATGGAAATAACATAGGCTTTGCAGCCTAGGTTGGAATCTCAAGATACATTACTTGTGTGGCCTTGGGCAAGACACCTAACCTCTCAAAAGCCTCATTTTCCTCCTACACAATATGGGGATAATACATTCAGCAATCTCAAAAGATTATCATGAAGAGTAGAAACACCAGCACAGAGCATACTCCATAAATATAAGTTCATACTTAATTCCTTCAATTTCCCATGCTTAGAGCAGGAATGATGTCAACTTCCCCTCCCTATCTGACTGCAGGTGATCATCAAGAGGACAATGACATAACTAATAGTACACACCTGGAGTTCCTGACATTGAAGGTACTGTCATGTATGGGTGTGTTTGTGTGCAGTGTGCATATAAATCCCACAGCACTGAATCACGTACTTTTTTTAGTAAGGAGGTCATGAGTTTAATGCCTTTGACCCTCAGTGCTCCCCATACAATCTGCACCGTGTTTTCAACAGACCTTACTTAGAGAGCCTCAGGTTGTGGCATGCCAGCATTTCTGCAATTATTCCTAGAATCACTATTCAAGCATGGACTATTCCAGCAGCTTCGTTGTTCAGCATGTAAGTTATGTTTGCAAATCCTAAGATGGTAGAGCACCCAATACCATATGGAAAGTCTATACCTGCAGACATAACTACGTCCTAGGGTTTGAGGCATTAGAGATATGCCACTTCACCCAAACTCTACCTTCTCACCTGTTATTTTTTCCAACAGAGAAACATCTTGCACTTCCTGAGGCAAAGATGCAATTTTCTGTCGGACAGTAGCATCCCCTGATGCAGCATTTTCCAGGTCCTGCAAAGCTTTGATTAGTTCCTCAGTCTGTACAATGAAAACACAAATGTTATCCATTAAGGCACATGGGTTTCAAGAAAACTATCTGGAATTAAATGAGGTGAAGGCAAATTCTAAAAATGATCATCCCTGACAAACTGTTCTTGGTCCCAGAGCTTATACTGACATCAGTGATGTAGAGTCTAAGAGAATGTACTAAGTTAACTTTTCTAAGTCTGTGGCAGAACATGAATAATATTCTAGACACTTCTTTAAAAAAAAAAAAAGAGCATGCTTTTAGCAACTTAAGAATGTGCTTAGTTTCACGTGATGATTTCTAGTATAAATGGTCTCTAATATGGAATAAAGATATACACCAAATGTTTAACAAATGCATGTTGACTAATTAAATGAAATGACACCACCTACTTCAATTCTTTCTTGTATTTGCTTTACAAAATGAAAGTCACAAAGCTTTTCAATTTTGGCGGCCACTCCCAAAAGTAAACAAGTCAAACTCATTAATTACAAACAATGGGGGAAAAGAAACCAAGGAGAACAAACCAAGAACGCAACCTGTGTGTATACCAAAAAGTGTCTTTTAAATTGTCAGAAAACTGGCAGGTAAGCCAGACCATAATAACCCAGGAGTAACTGACAGCAGTTAGGTTATCCTAAAAGTTGATAAATCAGACTGTTCTCATCAAAGTTTTCCAATGCAAAGATATATGGCCTATCACTGCTTTCATTTAGCAACCCCCTCACCCCATCTTAACATTTTAACAACATAAATCAGACATGCTTCCTGTTCACATAGGCTATCAACACACCCTTGTGTGAAGCAAAGGCTGCTTCAAACAAAATGAGAGGTACTGTTAAAAGAGCATGGGCTCTGAAGCCAGTGACACCCCGATTCAAATTAAGATCCTGGACAAATTAAGTCTGCCTCCTTAAGCCTCACTTTCTTTGACTTTAAATAAATAAATAAACAAATACTGAAAATGAACCAACCACAGAGTTCATGAGCTAATTTATATGAAGGGCAAATATACTGTTAAAAACTCAGTAAACATTAGCTCCCACTTGTAATATTTGTTACAGTGTAGCAAATTTGCTATTGCCACACAAACCATCCTTAGAAACTAGCAAGTTGTTTACTAAAACAACCATGCTATTGGAGACAAGTGATGGCAGGGGGCTTTTAATGTCTCTGTAACATTATCTACCTCTTTACAAATACCTACTTTTTAAGACCGTTTTCAATTCCTAGAGGTAAAAAAGCCAAGTCTATAAAACATAAATCCGTTCCAGAACCATGGCATGAAAAAGACAAAGTTAAGCCTACTGCCCAGCAAGCTTCACTGGGTGGACCTTGCACCCAGAGCCAGAGGGCTGCCCTGTGATGATGCCACAGTAACGGTCACTGGCGCCACCTTGTGGCCATAATCTTCCACTAACGGTCACTTCACCAAGCCACTCTGACGTACCAACAGGGGTCCTGCAGAAGGATCTTGGGGAGAGTAGCTACCAGGGTAGTCATCATCCTCCTCCTCTTGTATCTGCTGGAAAGTTCGCTTCAGAGATTTTTTCTCTTCTGTTGCTAGAGGAAAGAGGAAAGAAAAAAGTGACAAATTTGGGTCATGATAGCTTACCCAGGTGAGTCAAATGCTATCACAATGGCCACATGTAAAAAAAAGAGCAGAAGGGGTGTACATTTCCAGGGATGGCTTAACATTAACCTGTATGCTAGCTATTTTAAATTGGTGGTAGTTCTCTACATTACTCAAAAGAGTAAAAAATGGCCTTAATCTGTTATCTCAGATTGACTCACTGGAAAAATACTACCAAAAGCAAGCATGTAAAAGTGAAACTTAACCAAACTAACACATCAAAAACCTTATTATCTTTTTTAAAAGAAAGTTAACAGGAGAACTAACGTGGTAAGAAACCCATAAGACAATGTAACAAAGCAAGCTGATGAGTGTAGAAAATATACTGTGTATAAAATGAGATATTTTATACCTTCTGGATAATTTCAGAAGATACAAGTATCCCCCCACTTTTCAAAAGTTCACTTTTACAAAAGACCTAAATTAGCACCTATTTTCAGTAATAGAAAGAAATCCAAATAGAATTTTCACTTTTATGAAAAAGGCAAAAGTGAAAGTAGCGTTCTGTGTTTGTCTTGCAGCAAGGTCAGAGAGGCAGGGTGCACCTGGAGCATCGAGCGCGGCCTTGCCATGCTGCTTCCTGGGAACTACGCTCAGCATCTCAGCTTCAAGACACTGCAGGCGTGGACTGTGTCTGTGAGCATCTGGGCTTTAGCTCTACCAATTAATTTTGTTAGCAAGATATGTTCTAAGGCATTAGAAAAGCCGAAGAGGTTATTATTTGGGTCTGGGAACGCCTAGAAATTTTTCCACATAAATTAGTGGTAACTGTTTTTTTGCTTTGCCCCTTTTAGCTTACAGAAGGTTTCGTAGGAACCCTCAACTTTCGGATACCTGGGAAACCTGTAGTAGTGAGAAACCCATCAATAAAATTGCGTCAAAAACTCTAAACACAAATATCCTTTCAGCTATCCCTTTAAACACAAAACAAACCTAATTCTACCTTAAAATTAAAAATAATCATTACTGAGAAATATCACTGATACTATTAGGAGAAATTACTTGTACCATTTTGAAATTAACCACTTTTGAGGCTAACAGATTACATTTTTTATTATCTGTACAGTATGTTTTTAAACTGTTATGATCAATGAGGTTAATTCCAAAATCATTCTTTTTGTATCAAATTGGACAACGCAAAATAAATGCCAAACAAATGCAAGACACAAATCTACATGATAAATTCAGGTTTGGAAAGTAAAGAAACTAATGGATGCCTAATGAGTGCCAGGCATTGCAATAGTTTCTCTGCATTTAAACCTTTTAGCAATTCTAAGATGCAATTACCTCCATTTTATAGGTAAGAAAATGAAGACACAGAGAGGCTAAATCATCTAAAAGAATGACTTCAAAATCTGTGCTCTTCTCACTGAAGTCAAATTACTTAGCACCACAAAATTACCCTTTCACCTGTCAAATGAGGGGTCACTGTGCACCTGCCTCAGAACCCTGTGAGTTATAAACAGAATAACGTACACTTCTTGCTTAGTTAAACATTTAATTCTGGAACCAAGGATGTAGTTCCTGTTTCGACCTTACACATTAACTGACCAAACCATGTTTGACGTGGAAGTCAAGTGAGTATCATTGATTTTATTTTTATTTGTCATTCTACTAAAAAAAAAAAAAAAAAAAAAAAAAAATCCAGAAGCATTTGCAATACAAAGAGTCCTCTCTTTGTACAATTTTACTATGCGTGGATTTGTTACCACAGTTTAAACTATAGTGGTCCCCCAACAACCTGTTCAAATTCCAGATACCATAGCATATTAACTTTGAGTAATTGCATAGAGAACAAACATCACTGCTAACTTCAGTACATAAATAATAGAAATGCACGTGATCAGCAACCACATCACTTCTCTCAAGGTCAGTGATTGGTCACTGCACATGTGTTATTCAGTTCACACACAGAAAGCATTCAGTAGTCTCCTGCTGATAAAATCCGCATGACATTTTATAAAAATGAATAATCAGAACAGGAAACTGACAAAGATGAAAGAGCAGCAAGAAAACTAACACTAACGCTGGAAGTGAAATCTGAATGGGACATAAATGAATGGAGTTATAAAAGAAACACTGGGCTGTGGGGGATGCTGGCACTGCCATACCCCTTGAGAGACTAAATTCACAGTCAGAGGAACTCAGTGAAGGCCAGCTCACTTATCAACATAAATGAAGAAAGTGGTTGGGATGGAAGGAATGACAATATCCTAGAGGAAGTGATGGTGACAAAAAACTTCAGAGATAGTTGGAGACACCAAAAGCACAAAGGATAAAATGCTGGAAGCTGATCCAAACTTAGAAGGGAATATGACAATTCACTAAGGCAGGAAAATGCTTGCTCTGTTATAAATTATACAAGAAAGCAAGCTTTGTTCAAACCACTCTTGGTAAGTTTGTTACAAAGTAACAGAACATTCTAATTGCCAAGGTTTGTAGTTTTTTATGTTATAGCATGCCAAATAACTAATAGTTTCACTATCTTTTTTGTTTCCCTATACATTTGTAACCAACAGTGAATTTTTAGTTCTTTGATGAAAAAATTTCAAGTCACAGAATATTTCAATTTCCTCACTGATCACTGAGATCACATTGCATGGCTTCAGTTTAACACTCATTTTTGCAGTCCTGAACTACAGAGTAAGAATTGTTATATTTTTAAAACAGAAGATCAATTAGTATATGATTTGCATATGCAATTTCTAACAGTACTTGGCACACACTTGCTGCCTAACTAATGGTAGTGTGGTGTGCCCCACACAGACTGACAGCAACTACAGCATCATGGGCTGCATGTGTGAACACCAGCCACCAGAATGTAAGCATTAGAGCAAAAAGACATTCTTGGTATCTTTTTGTTCACTTCAAGCACCTAGAAGAGTACTCAATAAGGAGCTGTTAAATACACTAAGAAGGTGGGCAAAGTATAAAACTTAGAGCCTTCAGTTTTCAAACTCTCATACAGAACTGACTATACATAAAAACCACACATCACTTAATTCTTCAGGACACTGAGAGTCACTGAATTTGAGTACTGGAAGGTCTCTAGACAGACCTATGTTTTGGCTTTCCCCACCTCATTTTTCATGAGCCTATACAGGTTCTCAGGCTGTCATTTGTCCAAAGTCAGAGAACTCATGGGTCCTAGTGTGGGTCCTATAGCCAGAGTCATCTGACCCCTAATCTGGAGTTCTTTTTACCACTTTATGTGGCCACCCACTTACAGGTGAACAAGCATTACAACATTGAAACCAAACTGATAAAAATAATTTTAGGGCCATTTCTGTCCTTTGCCATTCCGACTGATGAAGGTATAACGGGAGGTAACCACACCATAGTACTTTTCCAGTTCTCTCCTGTTTGCACTTGGAGGGCCTGCTAGAAATAAATTATTCCTCATTTTTCCCACAGGGATCCTCCTTTCCTGAACTACCTATTTCCATTAATAAACACTTTCAACAGCCCCATCTTCCAAGTATGCCTTGGAGACCACCAGAATCTCTTCCAAAGTCCCAATTCCAAAGATTCCACACTTCTGAGGGATATTGTACATATCTCCCTCTTTCTGCTCCATCCATAGCTTCTAATAGCAATCTCCCCTTTATCAAGTCTTGGCCAGACTATGGTCCCAAGTGGTCTTCCTCTAGTCACTCTTTCCAACTCAGACTACACTCGTTCATCTTCCTAGAGCTGAACTCTCACCCCACCATGCCTCTAATCAAAACCCTGGAGCGGCCTCTAATGATTTTACAGCTTCTACCTAAGTTCAAAGCCTACTGTTAGTAATGGTAACACACCTTGAGTTCTCCCTTTCTTTCAGTTGTCATCATCTCCCTCTAACTCTCACAGCACTGTTCTGGAACTCTCTTTGAAATCACTTGGACCTTGCTACTCTACATGGCCACTGGCAGGCAGAGGCCTTGCCTCTGATAGAAACATTAAGTGTTTATTCCTTTACATCCCTGTACTACTACCTAGGAAAGAGTCAACAGACCTGAGTTTGAAACCTCTTTAAGGCAAAGGAGGCACAGAGCTTGGAAAGCGCTAGTGCTGTGCCAAGTATTATTACCACTGCTTCCCGACACAAACAGGACAGCCTGCGGCTCACTCTACCCTGCTTCGCCTGTGCAGAGCTAGCGTTATGATGCCCAGGGTTCTCAGTCTTGTCAGGCAGCCATTAAAAAATAATCCAGGGAGTTTGTCAGTCCCATTCCTTCATATGAACTTAAGACAAGGCACCCTTCCACTATCAATGTGGCTTCTGACCACAGTATTTACATGCCTGTCTTGACTTACTCAACTGCTCTGTTTACAGGCAGGGCAAACACTATAGCTGGCCCAAATCGTTTTGTCCCCTCATTGTATACCTGCTATTCTATCCTCCGACCTGTTCTACGTCTCTAGGGGGCCTCGTACTCAGCTAGCCTTCAAGCAGTCCTGGTTACCTAAGTGTTTGTGCCGTGCCTCTTGGAGAGCTGACTGTGGTACAATTTCAGAGACCGTCTGAAATTAGCTTGAAGGACCCCAATCACATTACAAAATGCAGTCATCTACCTATAAAGCTCGACCTTCTCAAGAATCCACTTGAAATTTTCTGGGATTAAAACTGTGTTATATTACTTTCATAATGAGAAAAGAAACAGAAAATAGTATGTGGAACAGCTTTCTGATTCTTTGCTGTCTTTCTGCAAAGTAAAGGCAATTTTTTTTAAAGCAGCACATTAAGCTTTACTTGTGGAAAGAAAAAGATCTACAACAACAAGGGCCTGACACTAGAGGTACAGCTCGGAAAACACTTTACCCCTATCATCTCACTGAACCGAATGGCCAGGTTCAGGTTCAGACCTGAACCAGGGAAGCGGGGCCTCGAGCTCACGGTCTTAACCACTATGCTCGCTAGTCTTCACAGCATCTGTGGGACTGGAAAAAGTAACAAGCCTCCTCCTACTTCTGCTACTGGTTCATATTTAGAAACTCAAACATTAGATACTAGAACTGGGGAGGCAAATAAAACTCATGTCATCACTCCATTAGTAAAATCTTACCTACATTATCTCAAGTAATCCTCACAACAAGCCTGTGAGGTGTTACCACTAACAGCCATACTGTACAGTGAGGAACCTGGGCACAGTGAGCTTGAATGCTATGTATGCCTAAGTCACACTACCTGGAAGTGACAGAGCAGGGATTCATACTCTGGAAGTCTGACTTCAAACCCTTGCTCTGAATAGCTAAACTAACTATACTAAGGTCCAGGAAAGTTGGGTGACCTGCTTACAGATTCACACCCTAATTCAAATCTGAATCCATGTGCTTTCAGTAAAAAGTATGGTGTGAAGAACACAGGCTTTAAAGTCATATGGACCTGGCTTTGACTTCTCCACTTATCAATTATATTTATTTGGATAAAGTTACTATACCCTTCTGAGCCTTAGTATTCTCATCTGAAATACAAAAATGCCAAATTCATAAAATAGTTGTAAGGATCTGAAATTAACATGAGAAGCAGCCAGCAGAGAGGCCAGTATATATATATATATAACAGGTACTCAATAATGCTATTTCCTTTGCAACTACCTTTCCTTCTTAAATCCTTGTAGAACTACAGGATACTATGTGACTCGTGTATGACTCAAGTAAGTAACGAAGCTCCATTCAGACAAGCAACAGCTTTCCTATTCTCAACAACAAAGAGACAACTTTAGACCATCTAGATCTTGCACCTAGGGAGACAAGAAATCTCCTGTTCTAAAACAAAATTCCTAAGCTCAGACATTCTCTACTGTCAAAGTCCCACAGGGAAATTCTTATTTCAAACGTAAATTCTAAAAGTTGTCTGAAGACAAAGAATTACCCATGAATCAAAGCTGAAATATAAAAGGACTACTTAAATTCGGAAATAAATTTCTGGAGACCTCAACAGTACTTTGAAAGGATTGTGGTAAAATATTCTGGTAACTCAGGTCTAAAGAAGACAGTGACAAGAGAAAATGAGTTAGCTGGGACTAATATACATGTTGGAACCTTTTGATATGTGCTTCCATCCATACAGAATAAAGAAAGAAATTATCTTTACATCAGCATATCCTCCTCATAGAAAAATTCTGCCTTTATTGTTGTTGATGTTTATACACTAAAAAAATCAGAAACCCTACAGAGCTGTTTGCAAATCTTCCACTGCCACAAATTCCCCAATTTGTCTGACTGCTCCCTGAGCACAGAACTACTTCTCTTTCCTCTCAGGCTCTTTCCTATAGCATCTAGCATAGCTATTTACTGAAAGTACAAGTCCCACAAATGCCTGTTGAATTGAAATTCGACACGTGGCTTCAAACATTGTCTTTCAGGGCTCTCCTACTTGCCCAAAGGTGTTTTAAAATATCAGCCCTATTTACCAATGAATTCTAAGACAGAATAGTGGGAAGACTGCTGGATAATTCCCCAGTGCTGCACAGAATACGACCAAAATCACAGTACAGACACTACCAGAATGCAAAGTAGGAAACAATTTTGCTTTTCAGAAGCTACTGCCAGAGTGACCTCAAAATTGTCTCTATTTATTCCAAGTAAAATAACAATGACCTGTAGTCTGAAAACACTTATATCATTCTTAGATAGCCTCTAATCTGAACCTTCATAGTAAAGTTACCACACTTTGAAATGCAAATAAACTCTAGAGATCATGAAAGGCAAACAATAAACAGCTGCTGAATGAATATTATCATTTATGCTAACCATGGTTAATTCCATAGCAGAGACATGTACAAAGTCCCAGAGAAACAGGAAGGGAATGGCTTACATGTGTCCCAACAAGCTAGGAAAGATGTCAGAATAAGAGGAGCATTCTTGAAGAATGAGTTCACCACACAGTGAAAGGGGAAGAAGGACGGTTCAGGCAGAGGTAACAGCAGATGCAAAGAAAGGGGTACCGACAGAGCACTCCAAGGGGAAACTGCTGGGTATGGCCAAAGAATATGGTATATGTGACAATGGCAGAAGAATCAGGGAAAGTAAACTAGTTCATACTATAAAGGATCCTAAATACTATGTTAGCATTTGGACTTGATCCTCTAGGATATGAGTACAGTCAGATCAGATATGTACTCAGAAACAGATCATGCCAACCAAAATTAAACTGAAGCCAAAGAACCAAACAACATTTGATCTTACTCTTCTTAAAAAAAGAAACAAAAAATATATATATATATAAGTTCTTTAGAAGGATTTGATAAAATTCACACACATACACATACACACCTCCCAAGGATACCCTAGGTTCATTAAAGACCAAAAGCAATTTTAGGGAGCAAGTTGACAACCATCAAAAATACATTTCAAAACCACGATATTTAATGAAACCAAGCCCTAAAGAAGGCTAAGGGACTTATCCAAGAGCCTGTAGTTATTAGTGGCAGGAGCTAGGACAAAAATCTTAGTCTAGGGTACTTCCTAGCTCCCTGTAATAACTCGGAACAACTTTGTTGTTCCTTTGCCTTATGCAAGGGCAGTCTCTGAAAGGCAGAAGAGCGCCAAGGAGCATATAAAGCAAAAGTCAGGTGATGAACAGCATGAATACTAGAACCAGGCTTACACGCTGCGAGCACTACATAAATTCTCACCATCATTTATGATCATCTCTCTCTGAAGAATCATATAATCGCTGGTGGTTCACAGCAACCCCCAATGCAGCTTTTCATATTTGATTCGAAAGTAGGCAAAGACCAAGAGCTGTAAACATGTGGTGATGTTTCTACCTTTGGGGGGAGGGCTCTTGGAGTCCTCCATAGACAGCTTCAGCTGCTGTATGAACTCGCCGCCATACACACTTCTTTCTTGCCAGATGTTCAGCAATCTTTCTAAAGGTTTTTTACAGCCTTCATCTGCCTCTCTGCCCAGAAAAAATGAAAAGATATATATAAGCTTAAGATTTTTTTGTTTTTAATTAGGACAGATCTACATTTAAAAAAAATCAACAACTGACTAAATGATTTACATATTTAAAAACAAAAAAGTGTAAGGTACATATCACAATAAATGGATACCCAAAACTTGACCAGAGACTACATTCTTCCTGTGGTGCACTGGGAAGAGAGAGGGAATATGTTATAGAAATAATCCTTTTCTTTTACCCCCTTTGAAAGATGGGGCAAACAGGGCAGAAAGTCAATGGCTCATTTTTACAGAGAATCATCAAAAATCAATTCTGATAACTTGCTTTTTAAAAAGACATTAATTGAAATCTAATGTCAGACATTCTACTGGAAATTAAATGGGGCCAAAATCTATGATTTGAAAAAAGTGTATGATGGTAAATAAATTCACAACAACTCATCAGTGCTCACACATCAACACCTCTGCATGTATAAATACAATCATATACACATACATGCCAAGACTGATCTCAACTTTAACTACTTGTACTCTATGTTCACACAAAGGTGTCTAACAGACAACCTTAAGATGCACTGAGCATAACACAGTGCTTTGTAATTTATATCTGAAAGATGCTAGAGTTTTTCCCCTGACATATTACTTTCCTGAAACAGAATTATTTTTAGATGAGATGACTATACTAGCACTTAGTGTCAACAGATTGCTACCATAAAATGTCAGGCAGCAAGTGGCAGAGCGGGGGAAGACTTTCTGAAAGGAGAAGAATTCCCTCTACTATATTGTATTATATAACCATCTACTATAGTACTATGAATTGTTCTGGTTTATAAAACTGTCTGGATGTTAATAATCTCACATTAAGTGACTCCAAACAAGAAGAGATCCCTTGACATCATAGTACCTAAGTCAGTATCTTTAACAGGAACTTCAAGAACAAACCATACCAAATTCAAGTTAGATGGGAATTTCATCTACTCTCAGCCCTGAGAGCACTTTTCTAAAACTTTATATTTATTCTGAAGGTGAGGTGAAGTTTCAGATTAATCTGGTCAGACTGTATTACTTACAAATTTTTAGTGGCAAATTTCACTGAATTGGGGTCAAATTACTAAATCACAGTACATATAAATTATTTCTTCTGTTAAATATTTTTTTTTTAGTCAGAGTGAAAGTGAGAGAAAAACCTTTCCACTGACAGGCTATACAATTAGGAAAAAGGAGGGAAAAAACTTTCCACTGATTATAAAACTTAAAGATATGACCTAATTATTTGATACCTGTGATAAAACACTTTTACTCCTCCTTCAAAATGTCTAGAAACAATTTCTTCTGACCCCTTTCTCTGCTTCAGCCTGGTTCAAGCCACTATCATCTCTTGTCTGATTACTGCAATAGCCTTACTGACATCCCTGCTTCCACCCTTGTTCTCATACAATCTGTTCTCAAGCTTTAAAAATATAATCCTAGCTGCTGTGTTAAGGCAGACCATGTTATTCTTTCGCTCAAAACTTCCAATGTTTCTTCCCATTCTCCCTCAGAATAAAAGGGAAAGTCCTTATAAAGCTTACAAGGCCAGTCTCAACATAGCCCCCTATTTCTCTGGCCTTACCTCCTATACCCTCACTTCCTCCCTCCCCAGTCCTGGCCCTTCTACTTCAGGGCCTTTGCACATGAAGTTCACTTTGATTGGAAACACATTTCCCCAGATGGTGGCATGGGTCAGACAAGGCTTATTCTTCACTCTCTCTTTTTAGTTGTGCATTTACTCACATAGCACCTTTTCAGTGAGTCCTGCTCTAATCTCCCTATTTAAAATTATACCCCTACTCCTACTTAATCTTCTTCATACAGTGTATCTTCTGATATGCTATGTAGTTTATTTGGTCCATTTAATTATTCTTTCCATTTGACTGTAATTTCCACAGAGGTAGTCGCTTGTCTTTTCCCCCATACACCCAAGAAAAACCCTAATAAATATTTGTCTAGTTATATACTTTCTTGGAAGGTTTTAGATAAATATCAGTAGGCTGTACAATTGGTTAACTTTCAGCAGTCATCTTACTACATCAAGGTCATTCATGTCAGAAATCAACTAAACACTCACCAGCTCCTTCAACAATGTTTATGAAATACAAAGAATAAGGCCCAGGAACTGACTTCTAGGGTTTGATCCAGTAGCCCCTCACCTTTGCACACCCTACTAGATGTTTCACACTCTAGCAATACTGGACCATAAGGATTTTCTCTGAGAACTTGCTCCCTTCTTATGCATGTGCCTTTGCTCATTTATCTCCTCTCCTATGAATGGAACCTCCCCCCATACAGAATAGAACAAGTAAAGAGAGAGAAGTTTTGGGTAATTTGGGTGGCTTAAGTATATGGGGAGTGTGGAAATAGAAGAATCTAGAGGGATAGTGTGGAATATTAGATTATAGAGGGGCCCTGAATGCCATATTAAGCATGTGACCTTTACCCTGAAGGCAATGGGAAGCCCTTGATGTGACCAAATGTATGATGTAGAAGAATAAAATCATTGTAACTAGTATAATCAGATCCAAATTAATCAGAACTTAATTAACTAGTTCGTACCCTTATCATAAAATCTATTCTCTCCAAATTCTCTGTTCACTTAAAATAAAGAGAAACCAATCATGACAACAAATTCTTACCAAGGATTTAATGAAAAGGGAAGGAGTTGCACAACACCCACCCACCTATTATCCAGTATTCCTGGGGATATTTGGGACTCAATTAGCTCTAAGACTGATTCGGAGTACAGCTTCAGCCACATTACTGTACAGTGGGAACTGATGCTCAAACTGTTATGACCACAATGACATTTTCAAAAGGCTTTACCACTAACCGCTAAAGCCAAAAGAAGGCTCCAGTTTAATTGGTAAATATAACTAACCAGGAAGGCTAATTCCTTGAACAATATGACATAATACATCAAAGTTTTGATTTCAAAGGTACAGATACAACAGTAGAGAAATCTTTTTACTTATGAGGTTTATCATGAGTATAGCACCTGGAATCAGTGGCAACTAAAGCAATAAAGTACTTTTATAACTGAGGAAGCTGTCTTTTCAGGTTGCATTAACTCTGTTCTAAACTGAGACACCTTTAAGTGAAAAAATGCCAAAAAACCCTTAGCTACCAATCAATGTAAAAACTGGTAGATGAAAATTATATACGTAACTTATGTTGAACACACATTAGTATGCATTTTAATTCTGACTAGTTATAAATTCAATCACTGCACAATTGATCTAAAAAGTGAAAACTGTGTATTATACACACATAGAATTGTTGCTTGAAATGTCAGCTGGGTCCCTGAGGATTGCCAAGCCAGCTTGGGATCCTTTTGTTCCCCCATTGTTCAAATGGCACTTCCTTAATTTGTGTGTTTCTGTCTTATCCCTTGCACAATGGTTCTTCTACATATCCCAGCACTTCCAACAGCACCTCATTGAAGTTGGAGCAGAAATGCTCCTCTGTAAACAGCGTGCAGAAAAGAGCTGACAGAGCAAGCCTGAGACTGCTACCTTTACAAAGGCCTGCTCACAAGGCTGGCCCTTGGCTGGCATCAGGGACCTTGGATTTCAGGAGTGGTCCCACCATCTCCTAACTGATAAAGGTGGTTTACTGTGCCTCAACTATTCATGCAAACAATACAATTTATATTCAAAACCTGCTTTTTGGGGGGAGTCTGGAATTTTGGCAGAGTGCCTGTGCCAAACCCCAATAAAAGCCCTATGCACTAAATACCTAAAGAGCATCCCAGGTAGACAACACTTGACAAATGCTGTTACAAGTCACTGCTGGAAGAACTCAGTAATGTCTCATTTGACTCTACTGTGACTTGGAAGTTTAGGCCTAGTCTCCTCTGGACTTCTTCCCATGTACCTTTTCCCTTTTGCTTTGTATCCTTTTGCTGTAATAAGTCACAGCCATGAGCACAACTAGTCACTGGATCCTGTGAGTCTACCTAGCAATTCATCAAAACTGACAGTCGTCTTGGAAGCCCATGACACAAAAGTAAAGAAAAATGCATATGGTGATAACTCTAAATTTATGTCTTCAGAAACAAATTTCCATCTGAGCTTCAGACTATTTCACCCATGTATCTACCTGCCATCACCCCTTAGAATACCTGCTAGCCATCTCAAACCTAACAGGGCCAAAACAAAACTCCTGCTTCCCTCTACCATACTTTCCCCCCAAGTTTCATCTCAGTGAATGGCATCATAAGCCATCCACTTAAGTCAAAAACCTAGAAATCTTTGACTTCTCTTTTCCCTCACTACCAGCTCCTACTCAACACCCATAAATTCTATCAGTTTTACATAGAGGAGGAGGCAAATCCATCCATAAGGTAAACATTCAATAAACTGAAGCTATTACTATCTTTTCATTGCTTCTGAGTCCTATCCAAAGTCATCTGTAGCCAGTGCAGAGCAATGCCCTCCAAACTCATATCCCTGCCCCTTGGCTTTTAAAATCCATTCTCCATACCAAGCCAGAGGCATTAACAACGTGGACTATATCCTTTCCCTGCTAAAACCCTTCACTGACATCCCATCCAGACAAAATCCTCTCTGCGCAGGCTTACAAGGCATGTGTGACTGGCACCAGCCTACCTCTCTGATCTCATCTGGATGCCAGTTTTCCCTCTGCTCACTGTGTTCTAACCACACTGATCCTCTTAACATGCCAAGATCATTTCTACATGGGGTTCTTAATAGCTGTCCCTACTTCACATGTTTACCTCAAATGTGTTTTCCTTAGAGGTGCCTTCCTTAACCATACTAGAAGAGATCCCACTCCAGGATGTCATTCTATTTTATTATGTCCATGTTATCAGTCCCTGAAAGTGTCTTGTTCATTTACTCGCCCTCACCTGCCTTGTTCACTACTGCTCCCCTAGTGACTGGATCAGTATTTGGTATATAGAAAGCACTTGAATGAATGAAAAACAAAGTGCACAACAATCTTCAAACTGGGAAGAAAGTAACAAGGCATTTGTATGGGAATAAAGCTCAGAGTGGTTAAATAAACTGCTATTCAAGTTAAATCTACTCTATGAGCTTGGCAACTTTTTCTAATTTGAGAGGTTTAGTTTTTCATTTTATTTTATTTTTGTAGTGGGGAGGAGGAGAATGAGGGAGGAGGTTAAGAATTACCAGGAAGAGATTCCTAATCAATTCTGGTCAGTATTAATGGGTCAACTATCTTTGCTCATCAACTGGCCACAGAAATACCTTACAAAGAGCATTTCTTACTCTTGATAAGCTGCATAGTGATTAAAGTGGAGTGGCTGGCCTTTCTAACAATGGTGGGGGTTTAGGGCTTAGAAACATGGGGGTCCTGAATATAATACCCAAACAGGACCTTAAATGAACTGCAGGAATACAAAGGAAAAAAAAAAAAGGAATTAGGGCTATTTTTCTTATTGAAAAGGGCCGGTTTATTTTCTCCACAATGCCATAGAACCTGCCAAGACATTTTTACAGTGCCTCCTAGATAGGTTTTAAGATGTTACCACGTAGAAAAGGAATTTTTAATCCTAGTACTGCCCATCCCCCTTCTCACACTCCTACCTAATCATGCTTTTCTGGATTGGGGACAACAAACGATTACTGCCCAATTTTTAAATAAAAATGTTACGTTTACTATACCTACAGAAAATTATTTTAATCAATAATTAACAATTAATTAATTAAACAAATATTTACTGAATCCCTACTCTGTGCCAGAGTAGACTACAATGTTGCCCAGCTCTTGGAACACCATTCACATCAAGGCTACATAAATGGTGTTCTCTAAAGCTGTGTAACTCACCAGCTCTGTGCCAGACACTTTACCAGGTACCTGGGATACAGCAAAGAACTACAACAAACAAAAGATCCTCTCCTCAGAGTTTACAATTTAGCATATTCCCATGAACAAGCAAACACTGGTCGATCTTTCAAACTTACTGTTTTACTGTAGCCTCACAACAACTCATTGAGATAGGTGGTGTCATCCATCCCTTTTAACCAATTGTGAAACTCAGGCTCAAAAAGCTAAGAACACATCCAACGTCACTCAAGACATTGTTGGAGGCAGAGCTACAGCCAAGGTCTAAGAAACTGTGAACTAAATCTCCTCAAAAATGAAAATGCCTATCTCCAACTTCAGATAGCTACTCCAGCAGTTAGTTCTAAGCTTACTCCCTGTTATGAGGACTCAGTATTTTTTTCAAGTTCATAACCCGGTCTGCTTCGTTGGTGTCTATGTTCATCATAAGAAAGAGTCAATTTACATAGCTGACAAAAAATTTCCAATAGTTCATGGAATGCCAAGACTTATTTTCACATTTAAGGTCTTTCACTTACACTTATAACCCTAGAACAATTTTTCTTTAACCCCCAGTCTCCTTTTTGCCCTTCCCAACTTCCTTTTGCAAGATGTTTATTTCTGTTTGTTCACTAATATTCTGGTGAAAAACACTTTTTCTTTACTCCTCCTTTTGTCTACTATGGGCAGCTAATTTGTGTCTATAGAAAAGAAGTTTGTTTTTAAATGAAAAAAAAATTTATAAAATTTTAATCAAATGAATGTTTTCTGTGATATTAGCTAAATATATGTGCTCTATGTCCCAGTCCTCCCTGTCATCAAACACAAGTGGCAGAAGTTTAATAAGATATAGCCAAGAGCAAATATCTACTTTCCACACTAATAATTATTACCTTTGCAGTTACAGTAATAACTAATATTTTTAGTAAACCAGATACCTAGCCATCCACAAGGAAGTAAATACAAATGAAGGCATAAGCAACTAAGTTCTTGCTACTAAACTTTTGTTACTGAAAGGTTCCCTTGTACTTGTTCTTTGACCATAAACTAATGAGACAACTGTCAAACCAAGGAAATAACCATATTCAAGAAATGACTCCAATAAATGAACACATCTAAAGAAACAGATGTGCTCGGAGTGCAACACTGAATCATTTCAATGCACATGTCTGAGAAAGTTCTTAAGGACCCTGCAAAACACAAAACTATAATTTGGCCTATGCAATGCTCTGTAAAGCGCATCTCTATGAAGTACAAAGCTGTCAATTCACACAGGCTATCACAAAGAGGAGGAAAAGGTAATGCATTTAAGAAACAAAACAAAACAACAGAAACAAACAAACAGAAAACCCCAGACAACATACCTGGCAACATGAGAAAATGCATCCACAAGGACAGACTCAAATTCTCTAGTGAATTCAGGTCCTTTCCTTTTACTGTTTTGGATGACATCATTTGCTAAGTACAGAAAAGTAAGCTTTCTATTTGATTTGGCTGGAAAAAAAAAAAAGAAAAGAAGATAATTTAAATTACACTAGGGAAATTCATAACCACAATTCTTTTGCCCTAAGTTACTGCTAAAGAATATTAAAACAAACATTATCTGTTTGAGGTCAAGACTGCTACATGTTTGAAAAAACAACTTAAGTAACTCCTTGATTTGTAACAAAACAGGTTTGAGAATACAATTTTGAAAATAAAACCAAGAATGGGCCACCCTCATTCCTGGTTAACCAGAGAAAATTAGTTGACAGTAAAAATGAAGATAATCCAAAGAAAATTCCTAAAGGATAAACAGTCAATATTCTCAAGGAGACATGTTCAAACCAAGGTTTTCATTTATTCTATTATAAAGTCGAACATTTCTAAATGTTAATTATCAAATACTACAGAATGAAGACTAAGGTTTCATTTTCAAAACAGATTCTTGTAATTTATGCTCCTAGGTGGAGAATTTCTCTTTGAACATTACAATAGTCATAGACACTCAGTGATATCAACTCTACAATCCAGAGGAATCTCTAGGTGTACTAGTAGCTATTTATCTCAAATACAAATACATATTAATGCTACATTATTATTGATAATTTACAGATGTCTGAAATCCAGATATACAAAGTTATGGCTCCCACAAAAACCATAATTTTTCTCTTGTATACATACTAAATGCAGTATTTCCTATTACTCTATATGATATCATATATTAAGCCATAAAAACTTCATGCAATGTGTCTGAGTTATACTTGCTTGGGGGAACATTACTGAATTTCCTGGCTTCTATGCACATAACTTCTTAACCGTAAAGTTACATCACTACCATTTTGGGTCCCAGTTTTCTTTTAAAAGAAATAAACAAGAACACAATCTGACAGTTCGAAACACTAAGTTTTCTCCAATGTTAAGTACCTGAAAAACTCAAGTAAGCCCTTTGTCAACCTTCACGCACCTGAGTAACTAGTTCTTTCTTTTGAAATGCACATAGCATGTATAAATTCTGATACAGCAGGCATAAGACCTGACACTTTAAAATGTAGCTACAGAGGAATAGCCAAAACCAAAAACAAGATTTTTAAAGCACATTTTAGAGCTTAAACTAATGACTCAAAGTACTCATAAATTAACTATGGATAATCCCAAATTGTATTAACCTTCTGGTAATAGTTTAGATAGCCAACTGATGAGATTATTGAAAACCTGGAGCTATCCTTAACTGTTCTAATTATTATTCAAAAGCAGAACAAAAGTGTCAATAGTTACAGTATTCCACTGTTGCTACAAAGGTATCACTATGGCAAGAGGCTTTTTTTTTTTTCGGTAAGCAAATCTTGTTCTGGAATACTGCAGCACATAAAACTACAAAGTCTAAATGCCATGAAAGTTAACAGATTCTAAAGCAAACAGAACTTTAAGAAGCAATTGAGTGAAGTTTTACAAATTCCATATAATCTATGTTAAGAAGTCCAGAATCAGTATTAAAAGATGTAGTTTGGACATCCAAAACCTGGTAAAATTTTCAGTGTTACAAATATGATAATTAAGAGGCCAGAGAGCCAAGATTTTCACTATCTAAAATGTCAATTAATTTTCATCATCCTCAAACTTAGCAATGGGGGTTTACTTAGGATAAAACTTCATCTCTCCATATCCAGCATCCTGAATGGTCAACATAAGCATCATGTATGTAAAGATGTATGACAAAGCCTTAGAGCACTTGAACACACACAATCATTATACACACAACATACACAACCTCCCATTCCAGTCCCAGGAGACAAACTCACTTGTCAGATTCAGGTGTTCCTCCAATACAACAAAACAGATCCTTGCACCCCCTTCCTATGCCCATTCCAAACTGGCTGAAATAGCTATTGAGAGCAAAGTTTAAATAACTAGCTGACCAAAAAAATTTCACTTGTTTGGCTTGTTTTGACATCTATAAATATAATTTTTCAAAAAAAAGGCCAAGCTATAAAAACTTTACTAAAAAAAATATTCATCTAAGAGCATTTTACACCAAACTGCTCCATATATAAAGTTCTACCTCGAACACAGCCCAAAAGGATAAAGTAAGAATTATTCCTAGAAAATGGAAAGAAAATAACACATCACAAACAGAAGTAGCATTTAAGCAAGAAAAAATAATTTTTTAAGTCTCGTAAATATTTTGAAGGCAACTCTGAGATTGTGAATATCTTAGGGAAAATGGATTGACTGTAGATAGAAATGCCCACTTTAAAAGATCAGGGTGGGCACAAACACATTAGGGCACACAATCTTTTTCCACTTTAGTGTGGGGGCTTTTCAATTCATGAAGGAAACCTGGGTATTAGGAAGCTGTATCTTGATGCTTGGAAGAGCGTCCTTTAGCTCTGCACTGTCCATTATGCAGCCACTAGCCACATGCGGCTACTGAATACTTGAACCGCGGCTAGCAAAACTTAAGAACTGAATTTTTTTTGAATTTATTAAAAATTTACTTCCTTAGTCACATATTTCAAGTGCTTAATAGCCGCATGTGTTAAGTGGCTCAAGACTTGCTGGACAGTACAGATAAAGAACATTTCTATCATCACAGAAAGTTATGTTTGAAAGTGCTGTTTGATCCTTTACTCAACCATGAAAATTATGTCACAGACCACAGTTGAACTCCTAATCTATTTTTTAACGGTGTAACAGGCACCATGCTAAATGCTATGGGCATTGCAAAAACAAGGCCTACTATCTCCCTTAAAACACAATCTAGTCAACAAGATCTAACTTGTAAGAATAAAATAAATGCTAAATTGGCATGGGAAGCAGAGATTAATTCTCATAAACAAAAGCACTTGGGTTAGGTTGGAGTCAGACAGTTGATCACCTTCATTTATTAACTACATTGAAGGGCTGGGTACTTGAAAGCACAAGTCTGGGTGTCACAGTACTGGGGGCTCATGTCCCAGCTGTATGCCCCTAAACAAAGCAGTTAATCTCTCGGCACCTTTATCTCTTCTGCTAAAATATGGGGAATAGTAATGCCAGCCTTCTTACAAGGTTCCATCATGAGATTAGCGTTAAAGGAGCTTCCAACCTGAATGCACCAAGTCGTTATTTTCGCTAACAAACAGGGTGAGGTGGGGAATCAAGAAGGCTTCACAAAATCAACATTTTAGATGGGCTTTGATTTGTCTCTCAGATCCTATCAGACAGGATCCTGTACAGGCAATTCACTTTTCTTTCACATCTCAGACACTAGAAATTATATTTGAATGGCCGGTGGGTTCATGAAGGAGGCTCTGGGAGCCCCACGCTCTATCTCCCAACTGACCAGAGGCTGAGGGGATCCCATCTCAGCACTGCACACGATGAAGGGGGTGTGGGGCAGGGAGAAGTCTCCACAAGAGTGCTAGAACTGGGTCTTTTTAAAGAATCCTAGGTTTTGCTGTCTGCCAGCCTGATGTAGTTTGAGCCTCACTGGCCTGATGTAGTCTCTGGACCTTGAAAACACCACCTTTATTTCCTCAGTATTCTGCTATATAACTCTTTCAGGTATTAGATAGCAGTGGAGGTGATCATCTTTCCCCATCAAACTAGGCAACTTGAAGGCAAAGTCCATGCCTCACATTGATTAATCAGTAGTCCCATCTCACCATCATTTACTACGTGTTGATATTGTGCCTGACACCATGCTAGATGTTCATTTGAATTCTGTTTACTCTCACCACACCAAGCTGTTTGGGCCTCAGGTTTTCAACTGCAACGTTCCTACTTCATAGGAACTCTGAGAATTTCAAAAATGACAATATATGTAAAGACGTAAGTACTGTGCCTGACATGTAATAAAGGCACAGTAAATACCAGTTATCATTGTTTCCATTTTATAGATAGTAATTGAGAGGTTAAGCTGCTGAGGTCAGTAAATGGAAAAGTCAGTTGGTCCCTTGAACCAATATGCTATCCAGCACCCAAGCGGGTGCCTAGCACCTAAGAGGCTTAGTTGAATGAAGGTCAGATCCTGAGCAGGGTCTAGAATCAATTAAAGTTACATGAGAAGAGACTGAAAGGCAAGGTCTAGGTGTTGTGGCCCCTTAACCCCTCTATAAAAGGGGTAACTGTAACCACTTCACGGTGTTGTTCTGAGGACTAAGTGCCAGGATATACGTAAAGATCTTAGCACATTGACGGGCACAGAATAAAGGCACTATTAAGTGACAGCTACCCTTGTCCTCGTTTTACAGATGAGAAAAAGAGGCACAGAGAGATGAAAAAACTAGCCCAATATCACTCAGCTGAGTCTGGGCTTGATCTACGCAGTCTTACTCCAGAGTCTGTGGACTCTTCCTCCAAATGAGCAGCAAAGAACCTGGCACACGGAGCTACGGCCAGTACACTCCACAAGACGATCTACGCTGCGAAAGTAATAATAGTCAGAAGTGTCAGGAGCCTGGGCGAAAATGGCTGGGTGAACTGCGGGTCTGGACGCCTGAGCCCTGGGCAGTGTGGAACCTCAGATAAGTACCTTAAACCTTCCCTGGCCTCTGTTTCCTTCTCCAAGAAATGGGGATAACACTGTTTCCAACCTCGGAAGCGCAGAGAACTAGGCCTAAAAAGCAAGGTTCAATTAAGAAGCTAAAGGGACCTCAGGAATGGGTGGGGAGAGGACAACACCAGGGGAGTCCAAGGAGGTGGGATGGGGGTGTTTACCTTTGCGGAGCTCGCGGTGCCACACCGAGACGATGGGTCCCGCGTGCTTGCGGTGGTGGATGAGCCAAAGGGACAGGGTTTGCACGCTCTGCTGAGAGTTGCTCAGCTCCGAGAGCTTCTTTTCCAGCGCCGACTCGGAGAACGAGGACATGGTGGCGACCGTGAGTCCCGGCAGGGAGCGGCCTGGGCCGCCCAGTGCGGCTGAAAGAGCGACGGCACGAGGCCGGGGACTTACTTGATTGCCTGCGGAACTCTTCACTGACTGACAGACAGCCAGGGAGACACCGACGGGGAGGGGGAGGGTCTCCGCACTAAAAGCCGCCCGCGCCGCCGCCACAAGATGGCCACCGACCTCTCACCCCACCGCGAGAGCAGGGTCAAAGGGCAAGTGCCGGAGTAGCTGGGCACTGGGAGGTGTCAGATCTGTAGAAAAAAGCCCCTCTAGTGGCGGCGGCCTCTGTGAACCTCGCTCAAGGCACTTCGAAACCAACAGACCGAGAAACGAACGAAGTCCTGCGGCCTTCGGAAGGCGCTTTAACCGCTCGCGCCTGCACGCCGGCGCAGTGAGTCTCTCCGGAACCCTTTCTCCCGCTCCCGCAGAGCCTTTCTGGCGCGGTCCGGCGCGCTACTTTTTTCGTCACTTCCGGCGGGGAGGAGGAGGCAGGAGAGTGAGGGAAAGGCTGGAAGGCGAGGTAAGGAAAGAGTGGCGGGAGCAAGGGGAGCCCAGCAACCGGTGCACTTAGAGGGGATTCTGAACGGACGCTGATGCCGAGCGATCCTGACCTGGGATTGGGGGAAGGGCTTTCTCTGTCACTAGCAGGCCCCAGGTCTCACTCTTAACGTCCTACTCCTTGTCTACCCCTCACCCGAAAGCTTTTTGGTTCGGCCAAGCTAACCACGTGCACTTTTCACGCTCCACGCCTTGACACCTGCTGTTCTTTTTCCAGAGGTCACGCCCCCTTCTCACCTGGTGGGCCCCCACTTGACCTCCAGGACCACCCCGGAATGTCCAGTTCTTAGGTTCAGTTTGTGGCAGCACTGCCATAAAACACACCGTTGTGTTCTTGCCTCTAAGTTGGTTGCATGTTGATCTTGCCCTCTGGGTATCCACTAGACTTGTTTCTCAAATTTACGTAATATATTACCTTTTTGGGAGGGAGGAGGCGGTGAAGTCAATGGGTCCGTTTACACCTGTAAGAAACACTGAGACTCTGAACCCTTTTCCTATTTTTAAAGAAGTTTTAAATTCCAGTTATCAAATCAGCAAAGAAGTTTGTCCTTTTACCTGTTACGGGGGTGGTGGTGAGGAATTGGGTTATTGTAGACATAATGCAATTTAAACATTTCCTGATCATTAGGGAATTTATCAGTTGTGGTTAGACTCTACATAGGAGACGTTCTTCTAGATGACGCTGTTTTTCCCTTACCACACCATACAGTAGTTCTTTGCTTAGATGCTTGACTCCTCCCAGAGGAGAATCATTATAATCATAGCCAACATAATGAACAGTTGCTATAGGCTAGACACTGTGTTTTAACATAGTAACTCATTTAATACAACAAAGCTGTGAAATAAGTATTGTTATTCCAATTTGGCAATGAGGAAAACAGGCTGAGAGAGGTTAGATAACCTATCCAAGATAACTAACATTAGTGGGAAGGGACCGCATCTTATCTTTTCACTCCAGCACCTGATTCATAGCTGATTGACTGAATTAATACAAAAGAAGTGAATAGTCTAAAATCACACAGTTAATATCTGGTCATAATTATAATGTAGGGCGTTAGAGTCCAAATGATTGACCATCTTCCTATATTAAATAACTGTAATATACTGAGCATTTTTATACCAATTTACTATGTACTAATAGGCACATTTACATACATTCTCCTCTTTAATCTTTAAGAACAGTCCTATGAGGAGGGAATTATTATCACTATTTGATAGATGAGAAAACACAAAACATGGGTGAATAATCTGTCCAATGTCATTTGGACATAGGAAAGAACAGAGCCTGCAGTCAAACCAAGGTTATCTGATGTCTGATCCCAAATGCTTCTCTCAGGAGCCAGTGGTTCATTATAAATTCAGCAAATATTTTTGATCACTATGTCTGAAGCACTATTGTAGGCAAACAAACCATCCATGCTCTCAGAAGCTGACCTTTTACAGAGGAAGATAGATAAATATGCGAGTATAAAATGAGTCAGAAAGTAGTAAGTACTTTGGGAGGGTAAAAATCAAGGAGAGTAAGGGAGATAAGGAATGTGTGTATGGGAAGATAGGAGTCTAGTATATAGGCTAGTCAGAGAAGGCTTCACTGATACTGTGACATTTGATAAAAACCCTGAGAGAACAAGCCATATGCTATGTGGTGGAATGTTTTTCCAGGCAGAGGGAAAACCAAATGCAAAGTCCTGAGGTTTGACCATTGTTGGCATTTTTCAGGAACAGCAAGGAGAATGGTAAGGCTCGAGTGATACAAACAGGAGGCTGGAAATGAGCTCAGAAAAGTAGCCAGGGACCACATCACATGGGGACTTGTAGGCAATTAAGCACTTTGGATATTACTTTGAATGAAAATGAGAGTCCATTGGATGGTTTTAAGCAAAGGAGGAGCATTGTGGCTGTTAAATAGAAAATAGGGTGCAAGAGTGAAAACAGGAAGACCAGTTTGGCAGCTGTTGTGACAGACCAGAATGGAGATGGTGAGAAAGGGTCAGATTCTGAGGATATTTTAGAGGAAGAAGTGATAGGATTTGCTGATAGATCAGATAGGAGGTGTAAATGATAAGAGTTTATATGGCTCCAGGGGTTTTAGCCTAAGCAACCATAAGAATGGAGTGTCCATTTACTAGAGTGTGGAAAGAGCTGGTCTGGGAAGAGCGAGCAGGAGTTTAGATTTGCACATGCCCAGCTGGAAATGCTTATCTAAGTAGAATGTCTCCATAGGCAGTTGGGTTTATGGGTCTGGAGTTCAAGGGAGAGAGCTGGGCTTGAGATAAATGTGGGAGTCGTAATGGAGAATAGATGTAGAAAGAAGAGGGGCCCAGTGACTAGGACACTTTGACATTTAGAGGGCTAAAAGGTGAGGATGATATAATCCTATGATTTTTCTTCTTTAGCCTGTTAATATTAATTACACTGATTGATTTTCAAATACTGAGCCAGCCTTCCATCTTTAGAATACACCCTACTTTGTCATGGGAGTATAATTTGACATACTGCTGAATGTTATTTCTTAATATTTTTTTTTAGCATTTTTCCATCTGTATTCATGAGGGCAGTTTGCAGCTTTTATTTTTGTATTTGTTGGGTTTTGATATCAGGAAAATACTAGCTTCATAAAAATTGAAGATTATATCCTCCTCTTCCTTTTTTAGAAGATTGTATAGAATTTAAGTTAATTCTTGTTTAAATGGTTGGTAGAAGTTCCCAGTGAAACCATTTATACCTGGAGGTTTCCTTCTTTCCTTTCTTTTTAAGTTTTTAAATGAAAAATTCAATATCCTTAAAAGTTATAAGCCTATTCTAATGATCTATTCATATTATGTGAGCTGCAATAGTATTTCATAGTATGTGAGTTTGTGTTTTTTGAGGAATTCACCATTTCATCTAAGTTGTCAAATTTATGTTTTAAAATTACTTGTGGTATTCCTGTATTATCCTTTGATGTCTACAGGGTTTGTAGTGCTATCTCATTTCATTATTGATATTGGTAATTTCTCTCTTTATCTCTCGTCAGTTTTGCTAGAAGTTTGTCCATTTTATTGATCTTTTTAAAGAACCAGTTCTTTGTTTCATTGATTTTTCTCTATTTTGTTTTCAATTTCATTGATTTCTGCTCTTCAGCTTGTTTTGGTTTTATTTTGCTTGTCTTTTTCTAGGTTCTTGAGGTAGAAATGTAAGTTACTGACTTGAGACTTTTCTCCTTTTCTACGGTATTAATTTAGTATTATAGTACTATACATTTTCTTCTCAACATGGCTAAGCTGTGTCCCACAAATTTTAATACAATGTATTTTCATTTTCATTCATTTCCATGTATTTTTAAATTTCCCTTGATATTTCCTCTTTAATCCATGACTTATTTAGAAATGTATTGTTTAGTTTCCAGGTGTTTGGAGATTTTTATGTTTAATTATTGATTTAACTCTCTGTTAGTGATTTCTGGTTTGATTCCATTTGGTTGGGGAACACACACCTCATAATTTTAGTTATTTTTAATTTGTTGAGGTTTGTTTTATGGCCCAGAATGTGGTCTATATTGGTATAGCTCTGGGGGACACTTAAAAAGAATGTGTATTCTGCTATCACGGGTTGGAGTGTTCTAGAAATGTTGGTTAGATCTGTTGGTTGATGGTGGCACTGAGTTCTTCTGTTACCTTGCTGATTTTCTGTCTAGTTCTGTAAGTTGTTGAGAGAGGAGTGGAAGTCACCACCTACACCTGTGATTACCACCTATGCTTCTTTCAGTTTTGTCTGTTTTTGCTTTACACATTTTGTGGTTGCCATTTTGTATTTAGGATTTATTTTCTTGACATAATCCATTTAGGATTGCTATGTCTTCTTGAGAGATTTACCCTTTAATCATTATAGAATGTCCCTCTCTGTCTCTGTTAATTTTCTTTGCTCAGAAATCTACTTTATCAGATACTGATATAGCCATTCTTGCTTTCCTTTGATTGTTTGATGGAATAACGTTTCCATCCTTTTACTTTCAACTTGCCTGTATCATATTTGAAGTGAGTTTCTTAATAGACAGCATTTGGTTATGCCATATTTTTTAATCTACTCTGACAATCTGTCTATTCATTGGTATATTTAGACCTTTTATATTTAATATAATTATTGATATGTTAGAATTTAAGTCTGCCATTTTATTTTTTATTTTCTATCTGTTCTGTTTTTTTCCACATTTTCTTTTTCCAGCCTTCCTATGGGTTACTGGAACATTTTTCAGAATTCCATTTGATGTATCTGCAGTATTTTTAAGTGTATCTCTGTATAGCCAACTTGTTGGTTCCTCTAGATACCATATGATTTGTACGTAACTTATCTTTACTAATTCTAGTGAAGTATAGCAACCTTACTTTCCTGTATGGTTCCCCCCCTTTTATGAAATAATTGTCTTAAATATTTTCTTTACATACATATAAAACCATATCAGACAGTGTTATAATTTTGCTTCAACTGTCAAACGCAATTTAGAAAATGCAAACAACACGGAAAGCCTTTTGTATCTGTATGTTTTTTTGTTCACCATGTTCTTTCTTCCTCCTTGATGTTCCAAGAGTCCTTTTTTTAATGTGTCCTTTCTGTTTAGAAAATTTCCTTTATGTCTCTTGCCAAATTTGGTGAGTTTCAGCTATTATTTGAGTACTTTTTCAGCTCTGCCCTATTTCTCCTCTACTCTGAGACTCTAGGTCTTTTGTTACAGTCCCATAGGTCCCTGAGGCTCTTTTCAGTCTATATGCTCTCTGTGGGTCAGATCTATCCCTCCAGCTCTGAGATTCTTCCTCTGTCTGCTCCATTCTGCTTTTGAGTCCATCTGCTGAGCTTTTTATTTGCTACTGAATTTTTCAGTTCTAAATTTCCATTTGTTTTTTTCTTCAAGTCTTCTGTTTCTTTGGTGAGGCTTTCTATTCTTTCATTTGTTTAAAGCAAGTTCGTCATTGCTCATTGAAGCAT